TTCTCTCTGCATTCTTAGGATAAAAAGCTCAATCCCTTATGGTTTCCTAGGGTATGATATGATCTGCTTGCCTCACCACTACCTCTAAAGCCACTTCCCTCTTGCTCCCAATACACAGTAACACTGGACTTTCAGTTCCTTGATTGAACCACACTCCTTCCTCCCTCAGAATCTTTGCAGACACTAATGCCTCTGCCTGGGATATTTCTCCTTCAGCCTCATTGAGTTTCAATTCATCCTCTAGGTCAGTTCTCACTGTGACTCCCTTTTAACTTCTTTCCTTCCTATGGCCACCCTGTCCCATTGGTTGGCCACCTAATCTTATACTGTGCCCCCATTCCCATTTGTGTGATTTTTCAACTGTGGACCCCTGGAATATTCTGGAGGCCCACAAGGAGCCAGCATGGCCCTTGGTTGAGAAATGCTGCTTTAATTCTCTCTCAATGTTTCTTTTCTCTTCCTCATAAAAGGGCTTTCTACCTTTCATTCTAAATCAAAGAAAGGCAGTTTTCCTTCTTGACACCTACCAAAATTGAGATTAGATTATTAGTTAGTGTGTTTAATGTTTGACTCTTCTACTGGACTCTAAACTCTGTGAGGACAGGTACACGCTCTTTTGTTCACTAATTTATAGAATAGACCATAGTGCTTGGCACATAGAAAATAGGGGTTCATGATTTTTTCTTCTTAATTTCACATCCTTTCTTTCTATGGCATTGCCAGGGTTCAAACATATGCGAGGGCCTTACACACACAAGGGAAGTGTTCTGCCACTGAGCTGGCTCCTTGCTAGACTTTCTCTAGACAAGGAGAAAGGAGTAACAACAAAGTCGCCTTGCTAGACTTTCTCCAGCCCACACATCCTTTCATTCAGAACTATTTCTCGATGACAGCTTTTTATACTTGAGGTAATGATCTCTAAGGGGAAAAGACTGCTATTTTTTGTTTGTTTGTTTTCTATGGCCATGCTTGGGGATGCTCAAGGCTTACTCCTGACTCTGAGCTCAGGGATAGCTCCTGATGGGACTCAGGAAACCATTTGGGATATTGGGGATCAATATCCCCAATATTGATCTTGGGGCTTCATGCAAGGCAAGTGCTCTACCCACTGTACTATTGCTCTACCTAAGATTGCTACTACTTAAGTTGGTGTCAAATTGCCTAGCAGAGTCCTCTAAGCAGGGAGGGGTGATGACATAGGAAAAGGGAACAGAGAACTGAGTCTATTTGTTAATGGCTTTTGTCTGTTTTGGTTCATAATCTTGTACATGTTATGTTCTCTGCCACTGAGCTACACAGCCCCAGTCCATTCATGATCTTTTTTTTGGGGGGAGGGGGTCACACCTAGCGATGCTCAGGGGTTACTCCTGGCTTTGCACTCAGGAATTAGTCCTGGCGGTGCTTGGGGGGACCATATGGGATAGTGGGGATTGAACCCGAGTTGGCCACATGCAAGGCAAATGCCCTACCCACTGAACTATCACTCCGGCCCCCCATTCATGATCTTTTATAGTTACTATTTGCTGTTCGAATCTTCACTTATTGGGAATGTGGATTTTAAAGTATGTGGGTTATTCAGTCACATCCAGATTTTGGTACTATCTGTGCTATTTAATAGCTACATATCTTTGAGCAAGTTTGTTATATTTCTGTTCTCCATATTCCTATATTCTAAAACAGAGTCTAATAATGAAAATTGTCACTGTCACTGTCACTGTCCTCCCGTTGTTCATCGATTTTCTCGAGTGGGCCCAGTAATATCTCCATTGTGAGACTTTGTTGTTACTGTGTTTGGCATATCAAATACGTCACAGGTAGCTTGCCAGGCTTTCCTGAGAGGGCAAGATACTCTTGGTAGCTTGACAGGCTCTCTGAGAGGGGCAGAGGAATCGAACTCGGGTCAGCCATGTTGGCTGAGTGCAAGGCAAATGCCCTACCCACTGTGCTATTGCTCCAGCCCATGATAATTGTACCTGTGTTTTTTTTTCTTTTGGGGTCACACTTGGCGATGCATAGGGTTTACTTCTGGCTCATGCACTCAGGAATTACTCCTGGTGGTGCTCAGGGGACCATATGGGATGCTGGGAATTGAACCCGGGTCTGCCGTGTGCAAGGCAAATGCCCTACCCGCTGTGCTATCGCTCCAGCCCCGATAATTATACCTGTTTTGAAGGTTGTTGGAGATATACAATAAGTTGCACACCACTAAGAATAACAAATGTTCAGTTAATGTTAGGCACTATTTTTGCAAGGCTATAAAATTCTTACTTATAACTGGAGAAGTCTGGGAATATTTGTGGTACTGTGAATTCCTCTGTGGGAATTTAGGATCGAAACACTTGAAACTATAATGCTTCCTCCTCAGTTTTTTCCCTTACTTTTAAATCTTAGTATTGAAGCTTGTGGGAGAAGGAAACGAGAAAAAATGGCTGCTAGTTCTATTCTATTGAGTTCCAATGACAGCAGTATCAATGTAGACTTTCTCCTAGAAGTCTGTGTTTAAATTATGCATGTATCTGTACAACTGCCAGTCATATGAGAGATGCAAGAGATGCTACCAGTCTACTCTGCTACCAAGGGATGCAAAGGTCTACCCAGTCAGATTCTTGACATGTTGCAATTCGTGAATGTAGCCTTTTTTTTTTTCATATCTGGAAAATCTTCAAGCTTCCTTTTCCCTCTTTATCTTTTTTTTTTTAAGTTATTTATGGGGGGTGGGGCGGGGGGCATAGTGTTCAGGGCTTACTCTAGGCTCTGGGCTCAGAAATCACTTCTGGCAGGACTCGAATTCAGGTCAGCAGCTTGCAAGCAAAGAGTCCTATTCACTGTATTCTTACTTCAGCTCCTCCTCTTCATCTTATTGGGACCCTTTTCTACCCTCTTCCTCTCCCTTTGCTTTCGGGATACTAGGAGTGGTATTGCTCATAGAGTTAGTTGTTGTGTGCCCAAGAACAAAGATTTCTTTTGTAAGCTGAGCATCTTACTCATGATGTGGGGCAGTGCTGGAGATCAAACTTTTGTCCTCAATTCTGCAAGAACTCTACACAAACTATTCTGCCACTGAGTTGTCTGGGGGGGTCCTAGGATACTTGTTTATCAAAACCTACAAAACATTGGCCATTCAAAAGCCAAAAAAAAAAATAATAAAATTGGAACTGCAACAAGCAACTTATGTAAGCAAGTGTCTTCTGCTTCTAATAGTTCTCTTGAGAAAAATATAAGAAAGATTAAAAAAAAGTTTGTGAATTTTCAAGATGCAGTGTTCTCACAAGGCCGCTTCCTTCTTTTTTGAAGGCACATTTAGTTCTGGGCAGAAGCTAGAAAATCAGGCCCAGATAAATAATTTTTCCCCTCCCCTTTTAATCTTATGAAAGAGCTGCCAATTCTAGAAATTCCTCCTTTGATCAGAAGATAAAGCAGAACAATGCAGTGGAGCTAAGTGCTTTCCTTAGGGACATTCTTCTAGGGTGTGTTTAAGTCTGTCTGGAAGTGTGTAGGGGAGGGAGGGAGGGGTTGAAAGAACACTAGGAGAGTGGATAGACAAAAACTGGTAGGCACAGGACCACACAAACAATGGTTTAGTTGCTTCTACACTTCCCTACAGTCTATAGGGTAACAACTCTACAAAGTGCCCTCTCCTGGCTGTCAGTCACGTTTATTACTGACTAAGGAGGCATCAGACACTTCAGATCCTCTATCCAAAAAAGAGAGAGGAGAAATCATTTGCTGGAGAAATATCTACTACTCTTACACACTTTTCATAAGTAAATTCATTTCAAACTGAAAGTTCCAAATCCAATCAGCCTATTAGCTTGTGAACCTCCAGAAGGAGCAGACTCCATTGTGCAGTTAAAGGACAAGCATTAGAACTGAACTTGAGGGGTCAGGAAGAAGATACAGGGCCTCCAAATGTTGACTAGTTTGATCTGGTTTGATCTGGGCAACCCCAGGCAAGACCCCACCGGATATGGCCCAAGACTCCCTCCCCAAAGAACCAAAGAACCAACCAACCAACCAACCAACAAAACTGAACTTGAACTGTGCACCAGCCTTAATCACTGGAAACCATAATATTTCTGCTTTCTCCTTGCTATGGTTAATGTGATTAAAAAAATTCTTATTTTAAATGTAGGAGTACTACTTATTCAGCCACTGATTAAGCTGACCGAAGCGGGCATCAACTCCACATTACTTTAATTTTTTCAGGTTAATGTCATTTTGAAACTTTAATAGCACTTGAGGATTAAATGCTTCACAAGCACAATCTCACTCAATTTCCTTGAAGGTGTTAATAGAGGAATCCTACGTGAAGATACACTTGTAACTCAGAAAAGAGCCTCATGACAGTTATTACTGGGCTAGCTCTCTTAACTGGCTGTCTCCAGGGTAAAATGAGAAACTAACGTGAAAGTGTTTTCACGGAATTCACGTGACGGGCATCTTAGTTTACGACCCGATAGCACCTGATCCACCGTTTGGACCCGGTCGCTGCAGACGGGTGCGCGCGGTTTTCTATTCTGCCCGTGCCTCTCAAACTTGCAATCACACACTCGTCTCTGCACAGGCCCTGGCCCAGGTCCACGAATCTGGGAGCCACAGGTCGGGCGGGGAGAGTCCCTGGAGAGCACGGAAACTAGAGATGACTCTGGAGGTGGACTGGGCTCCGAGGGTCGCCAGGAGGGAGAATCGGCCGCTCAGGATCTGCAGAAACCGTTTCTCTCTCGGTCTCCTGGCTGCCTCGGGAACCTACAGAGACCGCTCAACCGGCCGGGGTAGGGGGTGTAGGGGTGGAGGTCGGGAGGATGCTAGAGCCGAGTCCCACCCTCTCCCCCGCCCACTCCCGCTCGAACCTCCGGAGGCGCTCTCAGGCCCCGCCCACTACCCCCAGGTAGGCCGTCAGCCGCAGCCAATCCCCCGGCGTCTGGGGCGCGGGAGGCGGAGCTTCGCGGGCCGGAAATGACGTGCGCTGCTTGGCTGGCCGCGGAGTTCGCCGAAGCTCTCGGCGGCAGCGGCGGTGGCGGCGGCGGCTGAGGTCGGGGGGGGGCGGGAAATGTCTCGAAGCTCGGCGGCCGTGGCGGCTCGGGCTGTGCTAGCGGCGGAGGCTCGGGGGGCTTAAGGTGAGGAGGCAGGACCGGGGCGCCGTAGCCCGGTACCTGGAGGGCGGAGTGGGATCTGGGGCGGGGGGATCTCGGGGGTGGAAGGGTCCCTTATTAAGCAGGGCCCCCCTCCCAACCCCCCCGTCCCGTTCCTCCCACCCTGGCGTCTGCTCCTCCTTCCCCCCTCCCCCCCCCCCCAGTCCCTGTGCTCGCCTCGGACCTTCCATCCCGTGCTCCCGGGCTCTGTCCCAGCCCAACTCGCCCCACTCTGGGCCTGGCTGCCCACTCGGGAAGGCCCTTGCCTGCTGCCCGGCCGGGGATGCAAGGGGCCCGTGCCCCCCCACCAGGCCCCTGCCGTCCCGGGCCGGGGCGGGTGGGGGTGGGGGCGCCCAGAGTTAGTTTTGCCCCAGAGTGGGAAGGAGGGAGGGAGGCTTGCAGCCGCGGTGCCCGCTGCGCGTTCTCTCTCTCTCTCTCTCTCTCTCTCTCTCTCTCTCTCTCTCTCTCTCTCTCTCTCTCTCTCTCCCTCCCTCCCCCCCCTCCGTCTCCCTCTCCCTCTCCTCGCAGAATTGTCGTTGGTGTGGCTATTTCTCGATTTGGATCCCCCACCCCCACCCCACTCTCCATCCCTTTTATCCATCTCTGGCTCCCGAGGCGGTTAAGGTTTGTGTTTTTTTTTTTTCTTTCTGTTTCCACCCTGCCACCCCCCTTCCCCTTCTCCGGGACTGTTTTTCCTGTCGCCTATCCACTTGCTCCCCTGGAAGGCTATTATTTCAAGCGTGTGTTTAGCGCATCATCTTTCTGGAGGGCGGGCAGATGAAAAATATTTGCTTAGTTCTTCCCCAGTGGCGGAGGAACAGTAAATAATTGGGGGGGGGGGGAGAGGGGAGGGGAGGCACATATTTCTTATTCCACCTTCCACTCCCCAACTAAACAATTTGACTTTTAAAAAAACGAGATCTTCCAAGTTGCAGATTCCCCCCCCCCCCCCCCCCTTTCCTGATGGGAAACGGGATTGAGGGAAATGAAGGAGAAAACTTAAGCCAAGAGGAAAAAGTTGAGATCAAGTGAGAGCGCCAGTAAGGTAGTTCACCCACCCCCTGTTTTTAGTCCGATACAAGTTGAGGTTGTAATGATGCATGTTTTGCGCAATGGGCACTTAATTTTGTGTAAGGAAATGTTTTCTTCCTTGCCCGTTGTGTTTTGAACAAAATCATCGTTCAAAGAGGTACCCTCAACTCTTTCCAGTTGGGTGTCAGGGCAGAAAAGCGCTGATACATCGGAACCACAAAACTCCAGATTAGAAGAGATGCAGAAAATAAAATTAATTTTAGCAGAGTGGTGCAGACAGTGCTCAGGGATTACACGGGTGGGGGTGGGGAGGGGGAGGCTGTATGCGCGTAGAGGTGCAGGAACACGGATTTCTGTCGTCTTTGTGCTTTTGCCCCCTTGATTTGCGGCTTTAACGGTTTCTGCTGGATGTTTAGACTCCTTAGCAGGTCTGCTGCCATCCTGGTTGGGACTTGGTGCTCCTAGTAGCAAAATTGAAGGGTTTTAGTTGAGGCATATATTCTTTTTGAAGTAACAATTTGTTTACTGTTAAGACCGTTTGAACACCCAAAGGCACTGTAACTGACACAAACTTGCTTCAAAAGTGATTTTGTATAGGTCAGGAACATAGATAGAGATACACGGGATAAATTGAATCACCGAGAGATAGTTACAAAGTTGTTCCTGATTGGGTTTCAGTCATACAATGTTCCAATACCCATCCCTTTCCCAGTGTACATTTCTCACCACCAATGTCCAGTTTTCCTCCTGCCACCACCATTCCCAAGTAATTTTGTATTAACTATTTGTGTTCTGTGTGCATGTTGCTTACAGTTTTTCTTGCCAACTAGTGTAGTTCCATGTTTGTAGGCATCACAACTTTTTCTGTGTAATGGAAAGTAAAACGTGGCATGAGTGCATTTAGAAATTTTAGAAACTAACTTTATGTAATCAGCTGTATATTAAAAGGATTGTTTTCCCTTTGGCCACGTGACTGGTTTTAAAAAGTTCAATTAATTGAAGATTGCAGCATCAGTTCCCATGTTTAGTAATCTTTCTTTAATCTAGCATTTTTTTTTGCTCTTAGTAAGCACATTCAGTAGGGTATTTATAGTTAAACAAATGTTGAATTTCCTAAGAGCTTACAGTTTCTTGTTTTTGTTTTAGTTTTTTGGGGCACACCTGGCAATGTTCAGGAACTTCTTCCCAACTCTGTTCTGGTGGTGCTGAGAGGCAGAGGGGGAAGGGTCGGACAGGGCTCAAGCACAGATTGACTATAAATGAGAATAATGTTCATTCACGTTTGTGAAATAAGTGGACATATAATAAAGAATTTGACTCTGAGAAAATATGCAGTGCTAAGAAAATTGGTTACAAAATTTGCAGTGTGAGAAATCCTAATTGAAACAGGTTTTTTTGGTTATACTTTTTATTTTATTGATTTATTTTTTTATTAGTGAAACACCATGAGGTACAGTTATAGACTTATAAATTTTTGTGCTCGGGGGTTTCAGTTATACAATGATCAAGTACCCATCCCTCCACCAGTGCCCATTTTCCACCACACAGGTCCCAGTATCCCTCCCACCCCCCATCTCACCCTGCCTCTGGGGCCGGGCATTCCCTTTTGTTCTCTCTCTCCTTTTGGGTGCTGTGGTTTGCAAGAGAGGCATTGAGTGGCAATCATATTTGGTCTATAGTCGACTTTCAGCATGCTTCTCCCATCCTGGGAGGATCCTCCCAACACCCTTTATTTGGTGCTCCTTTCTCTGAAACAGTTTTTTTTTAAAAAAACAACAACAACAAAACAACAGCTGTCAGCAGTTTAACTTCAGAAAATACCAATAGAAGAAGGAAAAAACTCTGTAGTTAGGATCAGAGAGATAGTTCAACTAGCTGAGCACAAATTTTGCATGCAGGAGGCCAGGTTTGGTTCTTACCCTGACTACAGAGCCAGGACTACCCCTAAATATCGCCAGCTGTGCCCTTCCCTATTTTTTTTTTAATTAGAAAGAATATGTTAAATATTTTATGTTTGCTAGCTGTCAGAGATTTTTAAGGATTATTTTTTTTGAAGATGAGAAGTTGTTAGAAAGTTTTTGTCAAGATGACTTTCTTATAAAACCCAGCTCCGAGAAGGAGCTTATTATCTAGTTCTTACTCTTGGAGAACCCTGCAGGCTATCGAGGCACAGCCAAGTCTGGCAAACTCCCGATGGCATATTCGATATGCCAAAACCCAGTAACAATGATGGGTCTCATTCCCCTAACCCTGAAAGGGCCTCGAATGTGGCACTTTCTAAAATCTCAGGGCCAGGACGAAGGAGATATTACAGGTGCCTGCTCGAGGAAATTGATGAACAATAGGATGACAGTGATACAGTGACTGTCTTATGACTTTAATGCTGAGGATCGAATACAATGTTATATATACTATATGCAAAGCATCTAAATTAAAAAAGTGATTTTAAATTACATATGACATAGCATTTCTTTTATTATTTTTGGGTTTGCGACCCATGTCCAGTGGTGTCCAGGGCTTATGTCTGTCTCTGTGTCCAGGGATTACTCTTAGTGATCTTGGGCGACCATATGGAGTGCTGGGGATCAAACCTGCATTGGCCGCATTGCACGGAGGCACACTTCCTGCTGTACTGTCACTGAGGCCCAGTATTGATTATTTTAACCCTTCAAAAATATTTATCTCTGAGATAGTAGTTGTAATGTGGTGTGACCTTCACTGCTGTTTTCAATTTTTCTATCAGAAACTATCCAGATGAAATAAGATGAAAGAATCCATCCCTGTCTTCCCAGTCCTGGTATCTGCCTCTGTACTTTATATCCCTAGGAAATGGCCTGTTGTAGGGCTTTTATATAAGGCATAAGTGGAATCAGGGTACATATAAAATAGCAGGTATCAGTTTTTAGTTCCTTTACCACTGAATGATATTTCATTGTATATACAGTATATCACATTTTGCGTATCTGTCAGTGGTCACTTGAATTATTGTCAACCTTTCTACTATATTGAATACTTCGTGAGCATTCGTGTACAAGAATCTTAATAAGTTCTTTTTGGGGCCACACCAGGCAGTGTTTGGGGCATTGCCCCAGTGGTGTCAAAGTGCCGGAGGAGGGATGACTTCTACTTTCAAAGCATGTGTGGCATTATTTGGCATTCCTTTAAGCATTACTTGCCAAGCTCTGGCTCTGTGCTTTGGATCTTCAGGACCAAGTGGTGTTAGGGCTTTATCCAGGGTTGGGATCTGGGGGGTTGACTACAAGCAAGGCTCCAAACCCCTCTTTTATTTATTTATTTTTTAAAATTTAGGGACCACACCTGGCAGTGCTCAGGGATTACTCATGTCTCTCTTCTTTAGGGTCTCCATGGTGCCAGGAATTGAACCTGGACCTCCCACCTGCAAAGTATGCATTGCAAGCCTATTGAACAGATGTATATCTACCTAAACCCCCCCTTTTTTCCCCCTTTTTGGGGGGGGGGCGGTGAGGGGGGGGCAATACCTGACTGTACTAAGGGCTTACTCCTGGCTCTCTGCCTGGGGATCACACTCCTTGTGAGGCTCAGAGGACCATATGGGGTATTGGTGATCAAACCTTTGATCAGCGGTGTGCAAGGCAAATACCCTCCCTGCTCTACTACCTCCCTGGCCCATTATTATTTCCTTTTTGGAGGTTCTCGGTTATGTTTCTTCCCACAGTAAGCCATGTTGGAAATGGAAGCACGTACTGTAGCATTTAGCACAAAGGCTTACTGTTGTTTGTTATGTACACTTAGAGTAATGTAAGTCTACTCAATGATTCATGTTAAATGAATGAATAGTAAAATGGTCCAAAGTTCAGTAACTATCTTCAAAAGTTTCACCATTAGGATTCTAAGTTAGATTGAAACTGCTTTGTCAGCAAAATATCTTTGAATGGGAAACTCCTGCTGGTCCCCTTCTCAGAAAGAGTGAT